GCTAAACCTCCGAAACAGGGTGCAAAACCTCCGAAACAGGGAACCCCAGGTCCAGGATGCCAAACGTCACCTAAGGAATGCATTAAGATAGGGAAGAATAGGGAAGAAAGTGAGACTGTGAGCCCCCAAAGGCTGCAAAACCTGCGAAACCTCCGAAACAGGGAACCCCAGAGCCAGGATGCCAAACGTACCCCAGAGCCAGGATGCCAAACGTCACCTAAGGAATGCATTAAGATAGGGAATAGGGAAGAAAGTGCGACTGTGAGCCCCCCAAGGCTGCAAAACCTGCGAAACCTGCAAAACCTCCGAAACAAGGAACCCCAGGGCCAGGATGCCAAATGTCACCTAAGGAATGCATTAAGATAGGGAAGAATAGGGAAGAAAGTGAGACTGTGAGCCCCCAAAGGCTGCAAAACCTGCGAAACCTCCGAAACAGGGTGCAAAATCTCCGAAACAGGGAACCCCAGGGCCAGGATGCCAAACGTCACCGAAGGAATGCATTGAGATAGGGAAGAATAGGGAAGAAAGTGAGACTGTGAGCCCCCAAAGGCTGCAAAACCTGCGAAACCTCCGAAACAGGGTGCAAAACCTCCGAAACAGGGCCAGGATGCCAAACGTCACCTAAGGAATGCATTAAGATAGGGAAGAATAGGGAAGAAAGTGAGACTGTGAGCCCCCAAAGGCTGCAAAACCTGCGAAACCTCCGAAACAGGGTGCAAAACCTCCGAAACAGGGCCAGGATGCCAAACGTCACCTAAGGAATGCATTAAGATAGGGAAGAATAGGGAAGAAAGTGAGACTGTGAGCCCCCAAAGGCTGCAAAACCTGCGAAACCTCCGAAACAGGGAACCCCAGGGCCAGGATGCCAAACGTCACCTAAGGAATGCATTAAGATAGGGAAGAATAGGGAAGAAAGTGAGACTGTGAGCCCCCAAAGGCTGCAAAACTTGCGAAACCTCCGAAACAGGGTGCAAAACCTCCGAAACAGGGAACCCCAGGGCCAGGATGCCAAACGTCACCTAAGGAATGCATTAAGATAGGGAAGAATAGGGAAGAAAGTGAGACTGTAAGCCCCCAAAGGCTGCAAAACCTGCGAAACCTCCGAAACAGGGAACCCCAGAGCCAGGATGCCAAACGTACCCCAGAGCCAGGATGCCAAACGTCACCGAAGGAATGCATTAAGATAGGGAAGAATAGGGAAGAAAGTGAGACTGTAAGCCCCCCAAGGCTGCAAAACTTGCAAAACTTGCAAAACCTCCGAAACAGGGAACCCCAGGGCCAGGATGCCAAACGTCACCTAAGGAATGCATTAAGATAGGGAAGAGTAGGGAAGAAAGTGAGACTGTGAGCCCCCAAAGGCTGCAAAACCTGCGAAACCGCCGAAACAGGGTGCAAAACCTCCGAAACAGGGAACCTCAGGGCCAGGATGCCAAACGTCACCTAAGGAATGTATTAAGATAGGGAAGAATAGGGAAGAAAGTGAGAGGAATGCATTAAGATAGGGAAGAATAGGGAAGAAAGTGAGACTGTGAGCCCCCAAAGGCTGCAAAACTTGCTAAACCTCCGAAACAGGGTGCAAAACCTCCGAAACAGGGAACCCCAGGTCCAGGATGCCAAACGTCACCTAAGGAATGCATTAAGATAGGGAAGAATAGGGAAGAAAGTGAGACTGTGAGCCCCCAAAGGCTGCAAAACCTCCGAAACCTCCGAAACAGGGAACCCCAGAGCCAGGATGCCAAACGTACCCCAGAGCCAGGATGCCAAACGTCACCGAAGGAATGCATTAAGATAGGGAAGAATAGAGAAGAAAGTGAGACTGTGAGCCCCCAAGGCTGCAAAACCTGCAAAACTTCCGAAACAGGGAACCCGAGGGCCAGGATGCCAAACGTCACCTAAGGAATGCATTAAGAGAGGGAAGACTAGGGAAGAAAGTGAGACTGTGAGCCCCCAAAGGCTGCAAAATTTGCGAAACCTCCGAAACAGGGTGCAAAACCTCCGAAACAGGGAAGCCCAGGGCCAGGATGCCAAACGTCACCTAAGGAATAAATTAAGATAGGGAAGAATAGGGAAGAAAAGGGAAGAAAGGGAGACTGTGAGCCCGCAAAGGCTGCAAAACCTGCGACACCTCCGAAACAGGGAACCCCAGAGCCAGGATGCCAAACGTACCCCAGAGCCAGGATGCCAAACGTCACCTAAGGAATGCATTAAGATAGGGAAGAATAGGGAAGAAAGTGAGACTGTGAGCCCCCCAAGGCTGCAAAACCTGCGAAACCTGCAAAACCTCCGAAACAAGGAACCCCAGGGCCAGGATGCCAAACGTCACCTAAGGAATGCATTAAGATAGGGAAGAATAGGGAAGAAAGCCAGGATGCCAAACGTCACCGAAGGAATGCATTAAGATAGGGAAGAATAGGAAAGAAACTGAGACTGTGAGCCCCCCAAGGCTGCAAAACCTGCAAAACCTGCAAAACCTTCGAAACAGAGAACCCCAGGGCCAGGATGCCAAACGTCACCTAAGGAATGCATTAAGATAGGGAAAAGTAGGGAAGAAAGTGAGACTGTGAGCCCCCAAAGGCTGCAAAACTTGCTAAACCTCCGAAACAGGGTGCAAAACCTCCGAAACAGGGAAAACCCCAGGGCCAGGATGCCAAACGTCACTTAAGGAATGCATTAAGATAGGGAAGAATAGGGAAGAACGTGAGACTGTGAGCCCCCAAAGGCTGCAAAACATGCGAAACCTCCGAAACAGGGAGCCCCAGAGCCAGGATGCCAAACGTACCCCAGAGCCAGGATGCCAAACATCACCTAAGGAATGCATTAAGATAGGGAAGAAAGTGAGACTGTGAGCCCCCCAAGGCTGCAAAACCTGCAAAACCTGCAAAACCTCCGAAACAGGGAACCCCAGGGCCAGGATGCCAAACGTCACCTAAGGAATGCATTAAGATAGGGAAGAATAGGGAAAAAAGTGAGAGTGTGAGCCCCCAAAGGCTGCAAAACCTGCGAAACCTGCAAAACTTCCGAAACAAGGAACCCCAGGGCCAGGATGCCAAACGTGACCTAAGGAATGCATTAAGATAGGGAAGAATAGGGAAGAAAGTGAGACTGTGAGCCCCCAAAGGCTGCAAAACCTGCAAAACCTGCGAAACAGGGAACCCCAGAGCCAGGATGCCAAACGTACCCGAGAGCCAGGATGCCAAACGTCACCGAAGGAATACATTAAGATAGGGAAGAAAGTGAGACTGTGAGCCCCCCAAGGCTGCAAAACATGCGAAACCTGCAAAACTTCCGAAACAGGGAACCCCAGGGCCAGGATGCCAAACATCACCTAAGGAATGCATTAAGATAGGGAAGAATAGGGAAGAAAGTGAGACTGTGAGCCCCCAAAGGCTGCAAAACCTGCGAAACCTCCGAAACAGGGTGCAAAATCTCCGAAACAGGGAACCCCAGGGCCAGGATGCCAAACGTCACCTAAGGAATGCATTGAGATAGGGAAGAATAGGGAAGAAAGTGAGACTGTGAGCCCCCAAAGGCTGCAAAACCTGCGAAACCTCCGAAACAGGGTGCAAAACCTCCGAAACCCCAGGGCCAGGATGCCAAACGTCACCTAAGGAATGCATTAAGATAGGGAAGAATAGGGAAGAAAGTGAGACTGTGAGCCCCCAAAGGCTGCAAAACCTGCAAAACCTCCGAAACAGGGAACCCCAGGGCCAGGATGCCAAATGTCACCTAAGGAATGCATTAAGATAGGGAAGAATAGGGAAGAAAGTGAGACTGTGAGCCCCCAAAGGCTGCAAAACTTGCGAAACCTCCGAAACAGGGTGCAAAACCTCCGAAACAGGGAACCCCAGGGCCAGGATGCCAAACGTCACCTAAGGAATGCATTAAGATAGGGAAGAATAGGGAAGAAAGTGAGACTGTGAGCCCCCAAAGAAAGGCTGCAAAACCTGCGAAACCTCCGAAACAGGGAACCCCAGAGCCAAGATGCCAAACGTACCCCAGAGCCAGGATGCCAAACATCACCTAAGGAATGCATTAAGATAGGGAAGAAAGTGAGACTGTGAGCCCCCCAAGGCTGCAAAACCTGCAAAACCTCCGAAACAGGGAGCCCCAGGGCCAGGATGCCAAACGTCACCTAAGGAATGCATTAAGATAGGGAAGAATAGGGAAGAAAGTGAGACTGTGAGCCCCCAAAGGCTGCAAAACCTGCGAAACCTCCGAAACAGGGAACCCCAGAGCCAGGATGCCAAGCGTACCCCAGAGCCAGGATGCCAAACGTCACCGAAGGAATGCATTAAGATAGGGAAGAATAGGGAAGAAAGTGAGACTGTGAGCCCCCCAAGGCTGCAAAACCTGCAAAACCTGCAAAACCTCCGAAACAGAGAACCCCAGGGCCAGGATGCCAAACGTCACCTAAGGAATGCATTAAGATAGGGAATAGGGAAGAAAGTGCGACTGTGAGCCCCCCAAGGCTGCAAAACCTGCGAAACCTGCAAAACCTCCGAAACAAGGAACCCCAGGGCCAGGATGCCAAATGTCACCTAAGGAATGCATTAAGATAGGGAAGAATAGGGAAGAAAGTGAGACTGTGAGCCCCCAAAGGCTGCAAAACCTGCGAAACCTCCGAAACAGGGTGCAAAACCGCCGAAACAGGGAAACGTCACCCAAGGAATGGGTAAGATAGGGATATTATGGAATAGGGAAGAAAGTGAGACTGTGAGCCCCCAAAGGCTCCAAAACCTGCGAAACAGGGAACCCCCCAAATTCGCAATATCCCTGCTTCTCTGGCGCCCTCCCCCTTGGAGGGGTCGGCGGATTACAGTTATTATATACGTACATATTTCTGTCAGGTAGATACCAAGCAGCAAAGCTGCTACCCGTAGAGTCAGGCCAGAGCAAGCTGCTCAGCTGCTGGAAGCATACAGGGCTCAAACTTTCGCTTAGTTGGTGACAGCTCATGGAGCTTGCCCCAAAGCTGCAATATGGCAGCAGATGGCTACACCATGGGGAAGATGCTTGGGAAAAAAATGGTAAAACAGGGGAACTAGGACACTTTATGTTAGTCGAAGGAAGTTTAGAAGTCAAACTTCCGACAATATGGACAGATGAAAAGCAGAGCAGGGCAGAGGCAGAGAGAAGAGAAAGATTAGAAGAGAGAAGATCAGAGAAGAGAAAGAGTCAGAAGAAAGAAGATGCAGATGCGCGAAAAGGTGGGAAAGTCGCGAAACATTGTGTTTTTCCAATGATTTGTGGCTCCGGAGGGTCGAAAAGTAGGCTCGCTAAAGCGGCGGGTGCGGAGCCAGCTGGCCAGATGGGAGATGAAAAATTGCACGCCGTTGTCGCGCGAAGCACATTTCGAAGTCAAAATGTACAAAACACACCATTCTCGGACCACTTTTGGAAGTTGAGATGTCGAAAAAGTGCACGCCGTTGTGGCGCGAAGCACATTTCGAAGTCAAAATGCACAAAACACACCATGCTCGGACCACTTTTGGAAGTTGAGATGTCGAAAAAGTGCACGCCGTTGTGGCGCAAAGCACGTTTCGAAGTCAAAATGTACAAAGCACACCATTCTCGGACCACTTTTGGAAGTTGAGACCGGCGTTGTGACGCGAAGCACATTTTGAAGTCAAAATGTACAAAGCACCACATGTTCGCGCCACTTTTGGAGGTTCAGATGTCGAAAAAGTGCACGGCGTTGTGGCGCGAAGCACATTTGAAATCAAAATGCACAAAACACCACATGTTCGTGCCACCTTTGGAGGTTCAGATGTCGAAAAAGTGCACGCCGTTGTGGCGCGAAGCATTGTGAAGTGCTATCCAGGGAACCCCAACAGACCATTTAAGCGTGCTTTATCGAGCACCGTGCCACTCCTTTGTGCCTTAAGGATCTGGAATCCATCCCTCTACATCGGCTCCATCCTTGAAAGCCATGAGCATAGAGTGGCTATCCTTCCCAAACGCATCAAGCACCTCGACTGAGAAACACAGAGGCTTGACCGCTCAGACATACAGACGGTGCACAAGTGCAAGTCACATCATGAGGTGCTTGACTTGAGCAGAGATTTGGGCCAAATGCTTGCTTTATCTTTTAAGTGCTAGTTGGTCCGTGTCTTAAGGTGGAAACGTAGAGCAGAAGTCACGCGATGAGGGTGACAGCCAGGGCATACTGCAACAACATCAGGTGAGTAGTGGCCAATTCATGAGGGGATCATGCCGAATGCCTACCAACTGTACTAACCCAACCAGAAGGCTTGTAAAACTGCTCGTCTCCAAAATAGTCGCAACTGTTGCTGTTGATTGTTTTCTCCAACTCACCCAGTTCCACTGGATGTGCCACTTCTAATGAAATCCAGCCAGTCTGCCGCACCAAGGGACTCGATGCCTTCTCCTGAGCCCAAGCCGGGCGACAAAGGGTGGCTGTACCGAGTCTTAGAGCCATACTATTCGCGAGAATGTGCCGCAGCAGCACCTGGTTGGATTCACGTGCTGTCACACAAAAGTATTCCCAAAAGGATACAAAACCCTGGCAGATTTGATGGTGCATCCACCTCCTAATTTGCCATCATTTTCCAGTTGGGGAACCCCAGGTGTGGAGAACGTGATGCAAGCAATGCTGGAAGGGCAAATTTCATCTGGAGCGGCCTGGCCGCGAAAGATGGTCCAAGAGATTTGCAATCTCTACAAGGCGTCGTGCCTCTGGACTGGTGGCAGATGTTTCCCAGAGGACCTGTGGCAGACCGATAAAATATCACATGGTGATTCCTAGTCGATTGATCCTTTGGAACTTTGGAACTGATATTGGAGGATCGACATCCAATTCGTGGGGATCACAATGGCCATTCTGATCCAATCGCATGAAGGGAAAATTTGCAGGCTTTGCCTCGATTTTCAATGGTAAAGCATCAGCGAATTCCCGCAAGACTTTGCCTTTACCCAACCGCAATGCTCAGCGTATTTGGTGATGTAATCATCCCAATTTTGAGTGGTCAGTGGTTAAATCCTAATTCTTGATGGCTAAATCAGTTAAATCCTAATTCTTTTTGCATTGAACCAACACAAAAGATTCTCAATTTGGGGTTTTCCCAAAATAGTGGTACCATGTGGTACCCATCCAAGTCATGACCATGACTTAGTACAGGTATGTACAGGTTATGTCGGTATAACCGTATTCACCCATGTTTTTTTTTGGGCAACCCCCCCCTCACAGGTGCCTGTGGCGCTCCCCACCTCCTCGGGCGCCTCTGCATTGCACGTGGCACTCTTGGCCTGCAATCTGGGCCCGCAGGAGCGCAGAGCGTGGACAGGTTCGGTTGGGACCACAAAAAATGGCATTTTCATGGGGAAAATGATGATAAATCAGTGGATGGCATGGGGGTCCGGATTTCTGTCAACGTCATTTGTGAGCAATATCCAATGGTAGTTCAGGTCTTGGACTCGTCGAAGGTAGGAGAAACTGGATGAAAGATGAGGCTTTGTGATTGGAACGTAGACATCAAATAGAGGGCAGATAGATTCTGAACATAGCAACTTGAAGCCCACCTTGTGTTTCTTGCAGGACATGGTGCTTGTGCCAGCCCTGACAATGGTGGCAGGGTACTTAGCACTGGGCGCAATCCGAGTCAAGCACCATGTATCTACATTTATGATGGGCGGAATTCATGGAGGGACATGCGAAACATTTCCATTGACTCAAACATAGTTGTTTCGGGATCTAGCTGTGACACTCGTCTCCCCCATGAAAGATTGCTTTGGACAAGTCAGCATTGGCCATATTTTCCATTTGGATCCATGTCATAAAATGGCCAATCATTGCCTTCTGTTTTGGATTGGTTGAAGGGATCATGATTTATGCCCCAGGATCCCGAATCACCAGGCCCCGAAGCAAACTAATAATAAACATACCGTAGATGATCTATAATATAATATATATATATATACATTGTACATACATAATTTAGATAGCTATAACTATATACACGCATACATACATACATACATACATACATACATACATACACATACATACACATACATACACATACATACACATACATACACATACATACACATACATACACATACATACACATACATACACATACATACACATACATACACATACATGCACATACATATACATATATACATATATTATACATACATATACATACATATACATATTATACATATACATATCAATATACATGTACATACATATACATACATATACATACATATACATACATATACATACATATACATACATATACATACATATGCATACATATGCATACATATACATACATATACATACATATACATACATATACATACATATACATACATATACATACATATACATACATATACATACATATACATACATATACATACATATACATACATCTACATACATATACATACATATACATACATATACATACATATACATACATATACATACATATACATACATATACATACATATACATACATCTACATGCATCTACATGCATCTACATACATCTACATACATCTACATACATCTACATACATCTACATACATCTACATACATACATACATCTACACACATCTACACACATCTACATACATCTACATACATCTACATACATCTACATACATCTACATACATCTACATACATCTACATACATCTACATACATCTACATACATCTACATACATCTACATACATCTACATACATCTACATACATAGACATACATATACATACATATACATACATATACATATACATATACATATACATATACATATACATATACATATACATATACATACACATACATACAGACATACAGACATACAGACATACAGACATACAGACATACAGACATACACACATACACACATACACACATACACACACATACACACACACATACATACATACATACATACATAGATACATAGATAGATAGATAGATAGATACATACATACATATATATATACACACCCCATTATATACCCATGAAACTCATAACAGCAGCCTTGCCACCGTTTGATTCGTTTCTTACTATGTTTATTTGTGTTTCTTGGGAATGGTGGTTGAAGAAACAACCCCCTAAATGGCCCGGCCATGTATGTCCATTGGTTTAAACAACAATTGGCTCTTACTCTTAACTGATTCTTAGCTGATTCTGAACGAATCAATGGTTGTTTTGTTTAGTTGTTTGGGCTTAGTTTGGTAACATTACTGATTCTTCATTAAGCTCAAAGATTCGCCAAGTCCTTATCCAATGGGTTCCCCAGGCCGTCGCGAACATGGTGAAGATGGTGGGCGCCAAGCCCATCTACTGCGACTGCGCGCCTGGCTCCGTGAACCCCAGCCTGGCCGAGCTGCGAGAGAAGGCCACGCCACGCACCAAGGCCGTGATCGTGTGCCACACCTATGGTGCCGTGGTCGGAAACAAAGAAACACAACGGAACTTGGAAGAGAATGACAGTGCACTATGTACTGTGTATATAATGCAATGATATAATAACAATCACAGCAATAATAACACCAATAATAATAGTAATAATAGTAGTAATAATAATAGTAATGATAATAATAGTAATAATAATAGTAATAATAATAGTAATAATGATAGTAATAGTAATAGTAATAATAGTAATAGTAATAGTAATAGTAATAGTAATAGTAACATACATAACATAACATAACATAACATACATAACATACATTACATACATTACATACATTACATACATTACATACATTACATACATTACATACATTACATACACGTACGTTCGTATGTATGTACGTTCATACATCGCTAAAAAACTGTTGACAAATCATGCCCAGGCATGCTGTGGGAATGGGTGAAAGATCTGCAAAAAAGACTCAAAAACATGAGGACGGTGAGGGTTTAGGGTCTAGACCATCCAAGTTGTGGCAGTCCAAGTTGTTCTCAAGACTGGAGCTGTTTGCAGATCTGTTGAGGTGTTGCTTGTAGGGACATCGTGGCGATCCGAGACCTGTGCAAAGAGAAAGGTTGGTGGCTGGTTGAGGAGTGACAATGGGTGGGCGGATTTACAGGACACAGGCTGCAAGGCGCGTTCTAGTCATTGTGGGTCAGAAAAAAAATACTATGATTTCTCGAGGATTTATTGCAAACAGGATCTTATTAGACAGCCATGAAGAGAGATACTGGACACATCTGAAGCTCTACAATTTGGCTCAAGCCACTTTAGCTCCCTCATCCGGCCGGTCATTGCCTTCCTGCAAATGGTTTCTGCATGTTTCTGCAGGGGCAGGTCACAAAGTACTTCTCTGAAGCGATGGTAATCCTGTGGCTTGTGGAATGAACTCTCGTGGACAGGGCACCATTCCACCTTTGGATGACGGAATGTTATATACCCAGGTTTCTGCCGCTACAGTCCCACAGTACTTCTTCGAAGCGATGGGAATGCTGTGGTTTGTGGAAAGCATGGTAGTGGACAATGCTGCCGTCTGGCTCCCAGACCAGGGACTTGCTAGGTTGCAGCTGTGTCACTTCGCCCACACCTTGTGTTGCAACTAGATTTCGCTTGTCAAGACGATGCTATGCTGCTGACTTTGTCATCCGGTTTGACTGGGGGGGGAGTGATGCGCTTGAATCAATGCAAGTCCATCTGATCCTGCCTGGTATATTTACGAGCGCATTGCGCGTGAATTGAATGTTTTCTTGCAGAGTCTTCAAGCGATCTTGCCGGACAGACAATTGTTCGAGTCGGTCTACTGTACAAATCCAGGGGCCAGCCCTGCAGGTGTCAGCCAAGTTCCAACAAGTTCTGCCGGCTAAGAAAAAAAATACTGTCGTCACCTGATCAAATGAGCAACGTGACTCCCAAACCGCCTTGGGCCTCAGGACATTTGTGAAGCCATGGGCACCCGAGCAGACAATGGAGAGCTGGTGGGGACCTTTGGCGACTTCGCAGTGACCTCGTCCCTTGGCCCGCTGGGTGCTGGAAGATGGGAGATGAACCAACGAGAATTTGAGAATAGGCTGAAAGTGAGGAATCTCCTGTCAATACAACTACCAAAATCTAGCAATCAATATATTCTTGAATATAGTCCAGCAGATATGATATGTTGTTGACTGTTGACTGTCCGCGTGAGTCAACTCTCGATAAGTGAAACTCGGGCCAGGGCTCCGCGCAACTTATATGGAAGATAGAACAATCCAGAACGGAACTGTACAACTACCAACCACGGGGCTATAAATGTCAAACTGCACGTTGAAACCTTTGTGAGTCGTTGGAACCAGGCTTTATGCCAACAAACCCATCACTGCTGGGGATGGTGGCTGGGTCCATGCTCGTGACCAGAAGCACCATGACCGTCTGAAGTCGCTGGTGAATCATGGCTTTGACCCTGGGCAGAAATCACAGACATCTTCAAGTTTTGCTTCAGGGCATGTTTAGAAGTTTAGCGCTGTGAATTGGGACAAATGACAGTCATATTATAGATATAAGTACATGTATATAAATATGCATATAACATATTATATATGCATAATATATATATAATATATACACATACACACATACACACATTCACACATACACACATACACATTATATATCATATATATATATACACATACACACATACACACATACACACACATACACACATACACATTATATATCATTATATACATATATACATACGCACATACACATATACACATACATACACACATGCGTACGTACGTACATTACATTGCATTGCATTGCATTGCATTGCGCTGCATTGCATTACATAACATGACATTACATGCATACAATCATACACTCATACAATCATGCGGTATATATATATATACATACACATATATAGTGTATACTGGCCCCAGAACAGATAGAAGGAAAGAATTTTCCCTCCTGGTCTTCCTAGTCTTTTCCCATTGCAGGGTGCGATGGAGCCATTTCCAAGGATCCAGCGTATCATTTCCTTCACTTTGAAGTTGCGCCAAATGCAAAGATGAACGGCCTCGGTGCTGCTTTTGTTTGCTCTCAGGCCTTGGCTTTGAACCCTCCGCAGATAAGCTTTTTTTGGTTCAAAGGGTTGGCAATCACTCAGATATCCCAGACTTGGATGATGGGAAAAATCACAGGAAACTTCTATTTGAGTAAAGTCGGCATTGTTTCCTGCAGAGTTTTTCTTCAATCACTTACCATCTCCCAACAAGAACAGGTGGGCTGCACAGGTGATCCATCCATTGCTCGCAGGTGAAGACGCTACCAGAGGTGATGGAGTATCGAGGTCAGGTGGCCAGTTGGTATCGACAAGAGCTGGCGGGCATTTCTGGCACATTGCGCTGCATCGAGCAGAGGCGCTACTTTTGGGTCTGCAAATGGGGAGAGACCCAAAATAGCAACGTTTAAATAGCTAAAATGATAACTGGAATCCAGTGGACGGACTGCTTGTTTTCCCATACTTAAAAAAAAGAAAATAGACAGGAAACTCTGGAGCTGACGAATTCATTACTTTCTCGCCTTGAAACTTTCCTTGGGATGAGCAGCACTTTCATCGACCGGATGAATATGCATGCTGAAGTATACCGAAGTCGCAGCATTCAGGCATAATCCCACACCTAAATTGACATGATGTATTCAAAAATGCTTGCATGAAAGAAGAATCACGTTGACTGAACACATTCCGAGGGGTGAGAATTGTGACCCGATGAGACAAGTAAGCTTTAGAAGGGACAGTGCTGCCCCATACACCCCAATCTTCACAAGACCTAGACGACCTAGAAAGACTTGGCCGGTGACTTATTTAGAGTTCTGTTGGACCAAAAATCACCGAATACCCTACAGTAATGCCAATGAACAGCAGCAGCAGCAGATCTTATTAGACGCAAGAAAATCGAGCCTTTTAGCCTTGTTCATGCCACTGTCCATGCAGTGGCCATGGCTATCATTCGCTATTTACCATTTACTTGCCTGATGGTTTATCCCGGTCTTCAAGTTTTGCTTGTCATGTTGGTGCTCTTGATTGCTTTTGCCTTGTTTCACCTAGCGTTTTAATTCTATTGGAGGTGCCAAGCGGGCACTTGTCCAGGGAGGGTTTAACACGACACTTGAGACTTTAATGTAGCGCGAACTGCGCATTCCTTCCTCGTGCCTTGGCAGTAGAAAAGAACCATTTTGGTCACCCAACCCAACAGATTGCAGTATTCCAAAACTCTATTGGTTGATGATTGTAGGGGTTGTACTGCCCAATATATCATACTCCATTATGGGAATCCATATGAACCAACCAATACAATCGAGTGACAGAGGGTTTTGAACACTGCTCGCGTGACATTGATGAAAGCTAGAGGCAAATTGACGCACCGTGGGTCTTCGGCGTGGAGACAAACGATCGAAGATCACGCGATGAGCTGCGAGATCATTTGGCTGTGCATGGAGTGGAGACTAGGAGCTGCCTTTTCCGAGCTTTTGAATTGGGCAGAAAAAACATATCAACCTATTCTTTGATGGCTTACTGGCAAAAAAACAAGTGCACAGGCCACATCAGGCCATGGCACATTCCAGAAAGGGTTGGCTTCAAAACCTTGGCAGGAACTACTTCTATCCGTTGCACCTTGAACCTGCAAATTTTTATGGCGATGAAGTCGGTGTCTATGATATTGTTTTGCCCAATGCTGAACGTCTGGCACAGGCTGGGATTAAATGCGCCAACTTGCGTCAACTATTGAATAAATGTGGGAGTACTCTCGATATTGGCTTCTTCTTCTTCGTCTTCTTCTTCTTCTTCTTCGTCTTCTCTTCTTCTTCATCCTTCTTCTTGACCCTTCTTCTTGTTATCCTCAATATTGTCTTTTTTGTTTTGCGTCCTTTTGCTGCTCGTGGTTCTATGTCGGTCGGCGTTGTGGAAGAGTCCATGTGGGTCATGACGAGCTACTTTGCGAAATTTTTGAACATATTCTCCAAACTATTCCTCCAAGTGAGTGGTATCTCCTTGCTGACAAAGAAGCTGTAACTTGTCACTTGCACGATACAAACCTCAACCCTCAACCAAGCCTCAAAACGAATGTAGCAGTCTTCTCTCCAACGTGGCATGAATTGGTGTTGGCATTGATGTCTCACACTGAACCTGCAGCTATTCAGCCTGTCATTTTCGCCGGCTATTCCTCCCTGCACCAGACTGGCTTCTACTTGCCGACCCACTCGTTTCTGCAACCAGATGATGTGCTGTACATTTGTGTCTTGGTTTGAATTCAGCCTTCCACTTGTTCGATTTGGGCAGGGTTCTATGCTGGGCCACTTGGCCAAGGTACTGTGATTCGCGCTTTCTACAAATCAGATGTCACCATCATGGCACCTCCGCGTGTGCATCATTGGGTGGATGTAGAGCGGTCCAAGCTCCTGAAAGGCTAGGGCGACTTCCGTCGCCTCGCTTCACCCGTACATAGCTCAAAAGATAGTGGCTACTGCAAAAGTCAGTTCGATGCCTGAAAAGGATCTGCTTCGATTTGCCCCTGCATTGAGAGCTGGTTGTATATATTTTTACCTTGCAGTTGATTTTTACCAAGCCTCCAAGGTGGCAGCAGTGTGTACGGAGCTTTCTGTACGCTGTGACAAGCAGGTGGGATCTTGATTGGTAAGCCGCACTAAATATTGGTAGCTGCCGCCTGCATGTTATGGAGAGGTGCAGCGAAATGATGAACTGCGGGAGCAACTTCGAGGTTGGAGGCGAGAGAGGTATCCAACTGTGACAGATCTGGGTGCTGTAATCATTGATTCCCCAGTCTATAGACTCATTCATAGTGGCTGTCACACTGAATCTATTGGCCAGGACCCCCACCATTTTTTAAATACTTGTATTTGTATGATGACGTTGACATATGCTGTTTTTTGGCGAGGATTTTGCGAAATTTGGCAGGGGACTTTAGATGTTGGTGGGAAAAAGAAGGCAGAAGATGTGATGAGTCAAAATCCAGGACCTGCTAAAGGTTGGACATTGGAAGGATCAAGAACACCTTCATTCTCAACTATTGGAGAGACTGGAATCTGCTATGTGATCCGCTGAATAATTCCACTGGAACTTCAAAACAGGCAACTGCAACCCAACTAATGCCTGAAATTTCGATGACATCTTTAGCAAAGATGACTTGAAGCTGTTATCCAAACACTAAGGATCTTTCCTATGTAACGGGAGAGATTCAACTTATCATCCAAGTTATTGGTCAATTTGACATGACTGTACCATCAAACAATAGGCGGCATGATCATCAACTTCAGACGACTCCATTTTCAGACACACCCATTACCAATATAGTGGTTGGTTGTATCCCATCATATCCCATGTTATCTACCTTAAATCACCAATTATACCAACTATATCATATGTATGTATGTATGTATGTATGTATGTATGTATGTATGTATGTATGTATGTATGTATGTATGTATGTATGTATGTATGTATGTATGCACGTATGTATGTATCTATGTAAGTATGTATGTATGTAAGTATGTAAGTATGTATGTATGTAAGTATGTATGTATGTAAGTATGTATGTATGTAAGTATGTATGTATGTATGTAAGTATGTATGTATGTATGTAAGTATGTATGTATGCACGTATGCACGTATGTATGTATGTATGTATGCACGTATGTATGTATGTATATAAGTATGTATGTATGTAAGTATGTAAGTAAGTATGTATGTATGTATGTAAGTATGTATGTATGTAAGTATGTATGTATCTAAGTAAGTATGTATGTATGTATGTAAGTATGTATGTATGCACGTATGTATGTATGTATGTATGTATGTATGTATGTATGTATGTATGTATGTATGTATGTATGTATGTATGTATGCAAGTCTGTATGCAAGTCTGTATGTATGTATGTAAGTAAGTATGTATGTATGTATGTAAGTATGTATGTATGTATGTATGTAAGTATGTATGTATGTAAGTATGTATGTATGTAAGTATGTATGTATGTATGTATGTATTTATGTATGTATGTATGTATGTATGTATGTATGTGAGTATGTATGTATGTATGTATGTAAGTATGTATGTATGTATGTATGTATGCACGTATGTATGTATGTATGTAAGTATGTATGTATGTAAGTATGTATGTATGTATGTATGTAAGTATGTATGTATGTATGTAAGTATGTATGTATGTATGTAAGTATGTATGTATGTATGTATGTAAGTTTGTATGTATGTATGTACGTACGTATGTATGTATGTATGTATGCACGTATGTATGTATGTATGTAAGTATGTATGTAAGTATGTATGTATGTATGTATGTATGTATGCGCGTATGTATGTATGTATGTAAGTATGTATGTATGTATGTAAGTATGTATGTATGCACGTATGCACGTATGTATGTATGTATGCACGTATGTATGTATGTATGTATATAAGTATGTATGTATGTAAGTATGTAAGTATGTATGTATGTAAGTATGTATGTATGTAAGTATGTATGTATGTAAGTAAGTATGTATGTATGTATGTAAGTATGTATGTATGCACGTACGTACGTACGTGTGTATGTATGTATATATGCACGTATGTATGTATGTATGTAAGTATGTATGTATGTAAGTATGTATGTATGTATGTATGTAAAGTATGTATGTATGTATGTATGCGCGTATGTATGTATGTATGTAAGTATGTATGTATGTATGTATGCACGTATGTATGTATGTATGTAAGTATGTATGTATGTATGTATGCACGTATGTATGTATGTATGTAAGTATGTATGTAGGTAAGTATGTATGTATGTAAGTAAGTATGTATGTATGTATGTAAGTATGTATGTATGTATGTACGTATGTATGTATGTATGTATGTATGTATGTATGTATGTATGCACGTATGTATGTATGTATGTAAGTATGTATGTATGTAAGTATGTATGTATGTACGTAAGTAAGTATGTATGTATGTATGTAAGTATGTATGTATGTATGTAAGTATGTATGTATGTATGTACGTAAGTAAGTATGTAAGAATGTATGTATGTATGTATGTATATATATATATTTTGCCACATTTTTCGAATAGTGGTTGGTTATTTTTCATATTTTTCATGGGTTTCCCACCATTTTTTGAGGATCGCAAAGCGAGATGCAGCGCCAGGCGGAGGCTCAACATCTCCGCGAGATGCAGCAGCTGCGACAGGAGGAACGACGCTTGGAGGCTGTGGCGGCGAAGGAGGCCGTGGAAAGTTGGGAAGCTGGACGTTTGAAGGAGCCAAGCTGGGACACATGGCTAACAATAGGGATAAATGGGCTAAATAGGATAGGGTTATATATACAGAAGGGGACACCCTGGGAGTGCGGTTTTTCACTGCATTCTGCAACCACTGACACTGCACATCTCATCTTTGCAACCACTGCATCTGCGATGGTTCTCTCACTGCTTTGCAACCATTGACAATTTCTGCTTGGTTTTTCTGCAATGGCTGAACAAAACCAAAATCCAAAAAACAAAAAAAACAAGAAACCAAAACAACAAAAACGCAAACAACCAAAAAGACCAACATGACAAGACCCAACTCTCTGCCACTCCCCCCTTGGAGTGTACAATATATTTTCTTAAATGAAGAACACATGGTACATGTAAGCACATAAATATGTCCTTCACAATTGCACATCATTTTTCTGATTGCATAATGTGATATTCGTCCAAGACAACGAACCATATTTTGGGAATAGCACCCTTTGGTGTAGGCAGCTCTCCTCTTGAAACATATTGTAATTTGAAGAATGTGCATCTTTAAATCTTAAGACAATCAAACATTGTTTGAACATATGGTGTACTGTATGCATGTAGCACTCTTTTGAAAGAGTATGGTCGTCCTTGAACGAACATATTATTATTGGATTGTATTGAAACCATTTCTTTAAGTGAGAGTTGTCTTCATGAAGGCTGGGCTGATCTGACCAAGGGGAAGAGTACACATGTCAAACAAAAGAAATCTAGTTTTCCAAGAATGCTGCTTCTTCACAGGATTTTTTTTTGCCATACAGGACAATATTCTGTTTCTGTTGTTCAGTGGTAAGAAGCGAAAGAGCATTCTTTAATAATAGTGCTCACAGTTTCAAATATGTTGCACTTTTGAAAGGGATGCTCTATGTCAATAATACTGCATATATTATGCAGAAATATTGACTTTTCTAAAAGGGGTACTGCTCCTTTGAAAGGAGGGTTAGACATCTGGAAATGCACACTGCGCTCCTTCAAAGGGCATGGTGTAACTTTTCAAGGAATACTTCATATTTTGTTTGGATATTGCCCCTGCAAAAACACACGGCATTGCCCCAAAGGAAGATTACTCTTATTCAGAAGGGCATGTTTGTTTTGAATACTGCATTTGTTGGCAGGTATGGGGATGTTGTAATTATGTTGAAGTCATCTAGCATATTCTGCAGAAATTGTGTTTTGTTGAAGGGACACTGTAGTACTTAGTAGCATTTATCTAAGGTAGAGTGAACACCTGGACACTTCTTCAAGCAATACATGCTCTCTAGTGGACATGAACACAGCTTCATCTGTAGCTTAAGTTTTAATGTGATTGCAGTTTTTGAAAAAAACAACAAAAAAGTGCACTCCCACAGCGTCCTGCTCCCTCTCTCTCTCTATATGTATATACATATATATACATACCCGTTGAAATTTTTGTTACTAAATCTGAGGCCTCAGGGCCGTTACAGAATGGTTTTTGGCTACCATTTTGTGCAAAATTTTGACCCTGGGTTCTGCCATCTTGTAAGTGGCCCCCCCCCTGGTACCGGAATTTTGCATTGGAAGTGCGAGTTTGTTACCCTCCAGTCCCGACCATTCTGTCGGAGTCTGGAGGGCTAATCAATAACCACTACAAATTGGATGGATTCAAAGCGTAAATGGATAATACTCAACCATAGCCCCGACAAACTGGATGGAATCAAAAAATCACAGAATAATTTTCACAACCTAGGAGATCTCAAATAACAGTGTATATTGAATGCATCAAAGTTCCAATGCAGTCTGATAAGTGCACTTTTTTTGATGCCAACGTGAACAAATTTATCATCAATCGCGACTTGCGATTTATGTCATTGCTCATGGAAGAAGAAGAATCAAATGTAGAATTTTTGTGCATCAAGTTTGGGGCACCCCCAGTATAGCCACCCCCAGTCCCCACCATTCTGTAAAGGGCAAATCGAGCCAACGGATGCGAGCGGATGCGAGTCGAGTAAAATCGGTGACTCATTTTGTAGCTAGGGGTCAGATAATATATATATATATATCGATATTTATATTTTTTGATTATGGCATCCAACGTTGTATTTAATGTTTAGCTTGGCCACTCAGACAGCGTCACGCCAAAACAGACGGATGAACGCAAAAGAACGGAAAAAATGAACCGCGACTCGGGTTGGCCGGGCTGTTGCAGGTTACTTCCCAGGGATCCTAGGATAGTGCGAATATAGCCACCCCCAGTCCCCACCATTCTGTAAAGGGCAAATCGAGCCAACGGATGCGAGCGGATGCGAGTCGAGCAAAATCGGTGACTCATTTTGTAACTAGGGTTCAGCTTGGACTGCCATTTTGTAACAAAAACCTTCCCCGGTGAACGTTGGGTTCTGCCAACTTGTAAGAAGGGCACCTTGGGGACGCCGTTCTGTAGCTACAAAATGGGGCTCCCAACCCCTCGGGTCCAATCTGAACGGGGATATATATACGTATACATACTACATATATATATATATGTATACATACTACATATATATATATATATACATACAGTATATTGATGAGGATTGATGGGAAACTAATGGCGATATAAATTGAAATGGGATAGAATAGGGATACTTTTGATGCTTTCTTGGGGATTAATGGGTATATAATGTTTTTTTTCAATATTTTTAAATAGGGGTACTGATTAACTAAATGGCGGGTGACCATGATCCACCTCCATGATCTCCTGTGATCATATCAAAAACCCCACTGACCTCCCACAAAGGAATAGATGCAACGCTAAACTAGGGTTTTCTGGGGGGTGGTATTTAATCTTGGGGGAATCCCTTCATAATGGGGAAGTGATGGGAAGAAGGGAAAAAGTTGAAGGATAGAGCTCGGCTTGGGGGGATTGCATTGGGAAGACTTGATCAAGGGATGACTTGTTTTTTGTAGCTGGAAATGTGTGGCGGTGTCAAAGCTCGACATGGTTTTGGTCGGTGGCGTATGTATACTTGAGATCGCTCTTCTTGCTGCCTATGAGAGGGGAGTTCTGAGAGATTCTCGAACTTTGGCCGAATGGTACATTCAAATGCGTTTCTGCCAGCAAGTGGTATCCCAAACACGAATGATTTCTTCGTGTGTCATCTTTAGCCGACAGCCATTGACCTCCAAATTTCTTGACTCCAAGATTGGATAGTTCGGATAGTTCATTGCCATAGAGTACCTTAAAGTGCTTGCCACAAGGAGCTTCCCAAGTTGAAAGCTGAGCTGAAGCAGCGACTGGCTTGCAAGGCTTGACTGGGAACCCTATGCCTTATATATTCTGATCAAACGTGATGCCTGTTTTCCACATGTTCAGATCAGCAGTGGCTGCAAAGCCCCTGCTGGTTGTTGATTGTATCAGATTATACTACCCAATATGTGCGGGATTATGATGATTATGGGAAACCCATTGACCAACAAGTATAAAGGGCGACAGAGGGTTTTGAACAGTGCTCAAATGCTGTGCGGGATGCTTGCACCAGTTGCTATGATTTTCATGTCCTCAAACCATAGAGAAGCTGGTTGAATTCATTAAGTCGTGAAGATCTGTCAAAGGTTTTTGTGATATCACAACCTTCCCCGGCTGATGTCTTAGCTCTATGGCAGTGCCCCTGTGCAGGCGGAATATCATCTTCAGAGGAGGAAGAGGCGAAGCTCTCATGGCAAGGCACGGCTCTTTTTCCCTGCGCAATCTACAGCACAACCCAGGCCAGAAGATGGATTTCCACGGCAGAGAGACACTTCCCAGAGCAGGTGGGGACTGGCATAAGCAATTTGGAGTCAAGCAAGTTGTGACCAGTTTGCTCCCTGAGACTGGTCGCCCCATTTGTGATTCACTGGATCCATGAGCAGTGGCTGCAAAAGCCCTGATAATTACAGGTTGTCATGCCGGTCATGCTATCCGATATCCAATCTATTGGGGATTATTGGGGATTATCACCGTCCATGAACTGGGGATCCCTATTAACCAGCCGGTCTAATGAGTTTATTTATTCTCTCTCAGATTTTTTGTTTGTCCTTTGCTTGGCAGGTCCGCAATCTGGAAGCAGAGTTGAACGAGGTCAGCCCAATAAAGTCCGCACAAAGTTACACGCGGTCTGGCAAGTGGGGTCTAAGAAGTCGCATTGCGAGGATGAGCTAAGATTTGGATGAAGCATGAAGATAGATGAAGATAGCATCTAATTTGCTGATGGAGATATCTGAGATATCCCACTTTCAATTCATTTTGTTGCAACTTATGTGTTAAGGTTGCGGGATCATATGGATCATCCCACTACCATCAGTGTGTAGGCCAGGGAGACAAATGCGCTGCTCGGCCGAAAGTGCTTCGCAAGCTACCAGGCAAGTGGCTGCGCAAGGGGTCAAAAGTGTCTGGTACTGGGCTGCAGTGAGTGGTGGATGAGGTTGATCATTCTGAGATCAGGACTGTAGATCCATGGTACATTCTTTTCTTACTATATACACACAGAATATAGGAATATATGTATAGCGTATAAATTACTGTATAAACGTATAAACAGCTAAAACAGACCTGATCTGGTCTCAGGCTGCGGCACATGCTCAAGGGACTTCTCGCCAGTCACAAGCGCAGTTGCTGCAACTCCAACAGGTGCAGCTGTGGTGTCTGGGCTGAAACCTGTCTCATTGTTTTGTCCGTAGAAAACGGATGGTTAAAAAACGACCAGCCATTTGTGGGTCAATTGCTACCCCAAACCTTGAGGCATACCCAGATCTATCTTGGGCGCACCAGGAGCTGCAGTGGCTTCGCACAGAGCGGTCACGGCTTCAACAGGCCTGAAGGAAGAACTAATGGGTTTTCTGCAAAAAAAAAACATATTTCTTCCCCTTGACTCAAGACATGCTGATGATTCATCACACTTCAATTGCTGTGGCACTATCTGCAACCATTGGTATTTCTTCCCCTTGGACTTTCTCCGCTGCCATTGGCTCCTGGGGATTTTAGCCCGTGGGAGTGACGAAGAATGAGCGTGCAGGCACCAGGACAAGCGGCAGGGAGGTTCAAGTTCCGTGTGAAATGATGGGAGCAGTGCCCCAAGCCCTCACTGGTTGATTCTTATATTTATGGTTTATTTATGGGATTTTATGGGTTATGGGTTATTTTTTCTATTTCTCTTGGCGAATTAGTCTCACCTGTGGGAATCCAATCAACAGTTCTTGGTCCAACATTCCATGGCAGGCTGGAACTGGAGGAATCCCTTTGGACAGCAACACAAATGATACGCGGTGGCCTCAAGGATGGACTTCCGACGGAAACCTCTCTCCCAGATTTTCCCATGAAAAGTTGGGAATTCCTAGACAAATCATGTTCCATTACCATGAAGCCATAGATGCCATAGGGTGTTTGCAAAGATTGGGAGAGGTCACCAGCCTTGGCACTGAGGCTGAGCGCTCTCACAAACAAAGAGGCTCATTTCGAGGCGGTTCTGATTGCCCTGAGGCCAGCCCACTGGAAACTGGAAATCAGCTGCCTTGAAGTTGTTAAATCTGTAGCTGGCGTGTTAGCTCGTTTCTTTCAATCGCTTTTAACATCTTCGAACCAACACAGATTGGGTTTGAATCGCTTTAACATCACCAAAGCAACTGCTGTGTCACTTTCCCGTGGGTTGCGTCCAGGTTGGTGAGCTCCAAAGCTGAGCTGTTGGGAAACCACCAGGGCTTAGCTGAGGTGGTCTCCGCACATTTGGCCAATAAGAAGCCTGAGGCACTTCTGCGTGGTGATGAGGTGATTGGGGTATTTACTGGGATTATGTAACTGGCAGAGAATATGATAGAATGGATATCTGAATAACTATTATAGTCATAGTATTCTGGATATCTGAAGTATTACTTGTGTAGTCTATGGGGATGGATACTTATAACCAACCCAGCAAATATGTTTTGCCGCAAAAATTGGGCATTTTGGGCCCGCAAGTTTGACTCTTTGTGACTGCAGGTCGTTGCAGCTGCAGTACGGTCACTGGGCAGTCTAGGCGCCGGACACTTGCAGTTGAAAGATACATGAATGGATTTGTCATGATTTGTCTGAAAATGGGGTCTCCGAAAAGTTCATGATGAATCAGTGAGTCATCATTTTCCCCGTCAAATTGCAAAAAATCTGGGGTATTCCCCAGTTTCAGCATGTTTCAGCCACGGTGTCGTCCGTTTCAGCAGCCGTTACTGACAGGTGACGTGGGTGCTCGTTACGCGGATCATGTTGCTGCAGTGATTCGGTGGCCAAATGCCAGTGTACGGCTTGCTGCTGTGGAGGCGGGTGATCTGGCCGTGGCTGGGTGCATTCCATAAATGGACACCATTTTTGGGTATTCCAACAATAAACCTCGATGGGGGATAGTATCAGTCTATATATATATATATTATATAATATATATATAATATATATATATATATATATTATGTATATTGATGCATCATTTTGTAATTGAGTTGGTTTCGCATCAGCGCCTCCCTGAGACTCTTGGGCGATTTGGTCGAGCTGCTGCGAGGCGTCCGCCGGGTGGGAGCTCAGGGTTGCATCATAGGGATGAAAATGATTAACTCATTAAAGTCTGGGGTACCACATTTTCAGAAACATCCAAAATGCATGTTCTTGTATGTTTGCGTTCTTTTCCAGAGAACGACATGACATTTGATGCGTAGCCATGATGGCCCAAGACTTTCTTGGGCTGACGTGCTCAGAGGTCTGAAGCCCAGTCATGGATAGCTGAAGGGCATCTAGAAACGTCAAAAACATTGCAAGATCAGAGCCATTGGATCATTGGACCCAAACTTTCACTCAATTGCACTCCAGGGCCAATTTCTTTTGAGATCTTCTGTCTGAGGCAGGTTGGTTTTCCGAGTGATGTTCGATTTCGGCAATTTGGACGACATCGATGAGAATGCCCATGCCTCAGAAAAGTCAACCGCTAACATGTGCACCTGACAAACTGCTTGCAGAGGCTGCGACCCCAGAATGGATGTGCCTTGGCCAGAATGATAAAACACAATGAAATTCGCCAATTGAAAACCATTGAAAACTCATACAGTACAAAATGCCTGAACAGCCTGAATCACAGGGCAATTTTCTGGAACTAAGACAAGGTGCAAGGCAATGAGTCACATTCTACTTCTGCGGTATGAAATATCAGCAACAAAGCACCGATGGCATTTCCTTCTGTAGAAACAATGGTGAGGAAATGGCGAGGAGTGCCACAGTGGCAGCGAGCCGCTGACGAGTGTGAGTGCATCCTGGAAGATCGAGAGGAAACCTTTGCAGCACCCGACATGCCACAGGACCCGACGACTGTTTGGCGCAAAGATCACCAATGAATTGAAACCAAAACAGCGACATTGCTGTTTTGGAAAAACATCATGTCACATATGTTACCGGATTCATTCACTTGCAACAGTTCATTTGAAGTGCAGCTGCTAAGTCACAAGGAGTGAGTGTGGTATGATTCTCCAAGTCTCTGCCGCGGATCCAAAGAGCTTTCGTGATCGTTCACCATCGCCAGGAAGACTTTGCCTTTCTGCCGGTGGAGGTTCCACCTCTACCTTCGACGGCCTTTGATCCACTGGCCCTGACAGATGAGACGGCAGATGCGGTTGAGGGCAATCTGTCAGCGCTCAACGGGCAGGCATCATGGCATTCAAGTGATGGGTTGGAGTTTTTTTTTCCAATTTTTTGAGACCAGTGGATTTCATTTGTTTCATATGGATTCATATGGTTTCATGCTGTTTTTCACCTTCGAGAGTGTTGATTCTGCTTCATGGAGGTCATCGTGAATTTCGCCACCAGTGCAGTTGAAGAGTTCATGATCGCCAAGCGGGAACGAGAAGAGTACAAGGCTTTGGCAAAACCCGCTTTGGAAATTCAATCTGTCTTAATCTGTCTTGCAAATGTTGGCTTGAAAGGGTGCCTTCATTGGATCTTAGGCCCTGAGGGGACCATCAAGTTGCTTTTGCAATGGCCTATTTTTGAGTCCAACCTATCTTGAGTATTCTTTAGCAAACAGTCTATCACTATGTCCCTGATCGACGCAACTCGACTAATTTGCAGCGATTTATATAAGTTTGTCTGAAAATTATGGGACTCATCCCGAATACAGTGGTCTATCATCATTTTCCCTATTAAATGGCCATAACTTGGCGGTAAAATCCCCCATTTTCAGACACTATCCCATCATATCGCGGACTTATCAAGGCCTACATCGACCACTTGCATCAGCAGCGCTTACAATACCTCGACACGAAGAAGAAGGATAAGTTGGAGAAGCGTGGTCTCAACGCCAAGGACAAAAGAGGGTTCTATGGGTTCTATGGGTCTTGTATTGCTATTTGATGCTATTTGTGGGAGCTACGATGCTGTAAAACCTGATAAAACTGACAAAAAAGGCCGTGGAAGATGGGTTTTATGCTCAAACTGCCCCTGGCACTGATCTTGGCCAGGAAAAAAATGACGCGCCGTGCCGGACTCAACATGACTGATGGATATTGATGGGATGCGTAGATGGGAGTTGATGGTCCTGAAATCTTCACACAGAGACGCTGATTATCACTGAGATATTGATTATATATATAATTATATATATATATACACCCATGTATATATATATATTATATACAGTATTGAACAGTGTATATCCTGTATACCGACTGAAGTTTGCCAGGAACATGTTCGCATGGATCTTCCTGGATACATTGAATCCAGAGTCTTTGTGTTTGTACTTGTATGTATAGACATATGTATAATACAATATTATATAGAGTTATGATATGTACACACACACACCATGTCCTGAAACTCAAGGTTGTGGTTTTGACAGTTCATTTGAGCTCATCGCCCAGGGCTTTGGACCGCAAACCCTTCGCATGGAGAGAGCTGCGCAGTGTCCTTACTTCGAGTGTAAACCCGATGCCAAAGGACACGGGGCTTCCGTATGGAACGGCGTCCAGATGAAGATTTGGAAAGGGGCCAAATTTCTCCTACCAAAGTTGCACCACATTGCAACAATCAACAATTATGCTGGCTTTCAAGATTTCCGCACATTTGTAGCCAAATCCTCTTTGGCACCTTCGCCATCAATGAAATCATGTCGCATTTTTCAGCCACTCGGAGAGTTTCAAATTTGAGGATGCTGGTGTCATCAGGTGTCATCAGGTCAAGAGTCAGATATTGATTGTTTCCAGTGAACCTTCCAAAACAAATAGTTCACAGTAGATCGTCATATATAGTCATAGACAGTAGACCATCCATGATATGCCGGTGCCAGCCGTGCCTTTGATCCAAAAATTGGCAGGATGGCTGGATGGCCGAGACTGTGCTTACGGCATCTCGAAAGATGACTCGTTCATTAGTACCGGTGGCCACAGGCCAGCGGCCAGTGCCGTTCGTTAGTCTCCTTGGCTAATCGTGCCCTTTCTCCTAGTTTTTTCCCTTTGGGCAACTCGCGGGGTTTCCATGTCTCCTTCTTTGTGCCTTAGATTCCTTGTCACAGCAACCGAAGACCGAAGCGGCATGCTTTCCCAAGTCTAAGATTTTTTCTCCTGTGAAGCTCAGTCACAAACTTTCATCAACCAGATATAACCAGATACTCAGACACAGACCCTCAAAACCTACGTTTTTAAAAACCCCTAGCTGCAAGACGAGCTTCGAGGTCTTTGATGGAATCTGTGTTGACCTGGATATTCCCCAAACATGGCCTCAGTAGGCCTCAGTATGCCTCAGTAGTTTTATTAAATATAGACATAATATAGATCTTTTTGTTTTTTCTTCAGCAATGTATCGCCTTCATTATTTCCAATATACCTCTCATATCCTCTCATAGCTACTGCATTTTTTCGAGGTTCAATTGGAGCGCAGGCCCTTGACCCACAGCCCCATGTTTTCCCGGCAGGTGCCATGCTGCCGCCTTCCATGCTGATGCACATGTTGGTGAGTTTGGGCTCGCAGGTGCGACCTGAGCCTCCAGGACGCTGGGGACGGAATGCTGCGCCACTTGGTTCGCATGGCAATCGATTGGGAGTTGGCTGCGCTGGTTCACTTGCAAGGTTTTTTTCTTTTCTCCAGAAGCTTATCAAAGGCTTATTAGGTTTGAAGGAGATCAAAACTCAACAGTTGGCAGTTTCGTGCTGAAACCAGGCCCACCTGCCTGATACTAAGGAAACACGTTGCGATAAGCGATGTCTTTTTCCCCACTGGGATGGTCCTCAGCGATGCAGCTGACATCATTGGTGGAAAGAAGGAGGCTCCAACGTTGGTCCATTTGGTTGCGATGTCAGTGAACAAGGAGAATGGAGACCTGGAAGGCAACTTAGACAAGGATTGCGAGCTTTCTGGTGCTCACAAGATGATCAAGATGATGATGGCAATGATTAGGGTGGTGACGAGGGACATGGTTTTTGCTGGTGTTCAGGATTTGTCGCTATGACTATTGATGATATTTAGTATGACTGACGATTGATCACAATAAATCAAATCTTACTGATTTCATTGCTTCCACCAAGGCAAGCACCTGCTTGATAACATCAAGCTGCCATCGCCCGCAAGTTATCCGTCCATCAAACCGCGGTACTCGATTAAGAGATAAGGTGGTGGAGGATTCTGTACAGCTGTTGCGCTTCGTGTCCCTCTGACTCCTAGTTGAGTTTATTTAATTTCTATTACATTAAACTGCCTGAACTCTACCGGGCAATAGAAAGGCCTTGGAATCAGCTTTATTTTTTTTGCATTCAATTTCTACATTTACAACTTGTCCTGAGTTGGCTGCGCTACAGTGCCAGAGCCAAGCTGACTGCAAAGACACAGTCCAGTCAGGGGATTTGGAGCAGCATGCATCTTCCAATTCTGATAGAGTCTGATAGAGGTGCAATGACAAGATGCAACATATTCATATTGGTATATTTGGAAATGTAAACCTCCGAGTGACGTTTGCGAATGGTGATGATCGTGTGTACGAATCATTGTTGTATCATTTCAAGAGTTGTGTGCGGACTTGCTGACGAGAAAGTGGCTGCAAGTTGCTGGTTGGACATACCTGTTGGCAAATATATTCGATGAGGTTGAGTGAACTACCAGAATAGCACATGTGAACCATGAATCCTTGAACTATCTTGAACTTTGGGAATTGGGAGCCAACCTCAGGCTGCATGTCAATCATGTTTGGGGCATCTCGCTTCCAGAATGCTGTGCAGTGCAGCTGGGGCGGATTCACCGCATGTCTGCAGGCATGCGAGTAAGCTTGTGAAAGTTGCTTCTGATCCAAAACTTCAGGACCTGGTACCTGGTGCTATGAAATGAAGTCTTGATTGTACCAAGATCATGAGCGGATTGTGGGGTTTCAAAAGTGATGGGACGTTTCATGCTAAGACACTACCCCTTGGTAGATGACGCTATGCAAACTCGTCATGAAGACATTTGGTGGGTAGCCTTACCATGAAGACATTTGGTGCCCCATGATTGTACCATATGATATTACATGGATCCTTACGGAAATTCTCCAACATTTGAAGCACTTTTTTTCCACACAGCAGGATGATGATCTGAAAGTAGCTGCGGTTGCTGCCTTGGGCAAGGCTCGCCGTTTGCTGCCATTTATACGTAAAGTAAGATGTAGCGCCAGTGTTTGAAATTCCCAGGACTATATATCAAGTTTGTAAGCCCCCCAAAAGGGGTTTTGGGTGTCACGCACTATCAATTTTGAGCGAAAAAGTTTCTCAAATTCATTTGTTGCAAACATGACAAACCAATAACAAACATTCCATACATTGCATCACATTACAAACATTATTGCACACATGAGTACCAACCACCATTATTCCCACTAAAATCATCCCAATGACACCCATGGGATTTCCACCGCCAGGTGGGTGGCGACATCACCCAGGTGCCCTCTGTAGCTTCTTTGCTCTCGGACAAGTCCCCCTATGTCCAAGGTGCCTGGACAGCAAGATCTACCCTCTGGTAATTTCGTCGCAGTTTGCGAACCGGAAAAACACATCTTTTTAAAATGTAAACCATCAAACTAAACGGGCCATTTTCATCCATTTTCCATAGCTATGCTAGATTACCAGAGGGTACCAAGGCTGGTGCATGATTGTGATGTTTGGGTTCTCTTGGGGGACTGCACTCAAATTGCATGTGGCGGCGGAAGTGGATTTTGTCTGAGGTGCTGCTTGCTTAACCCTAACCAGTTCCTGTGCTGCAGTGAGAGGTAAGAGTTGTGGGTATTGATCCCAGTGGGGCAAACTCAAAGGTACCGTAAAATCCAGAAATATTCGCGTGGAACGGCTGATACAAAAGGAAATCAACAGAGAATCAACCACATCAACGAATCCTTGGTTCTCGGAACATCTGCCCTGCAAGATGCTAAACTGCAATTGAGTTGTTGTTTTTTTTCATGGATCCATGCATATCCATACCGAATCCATACCTTGATTTCGCAGCTGACGATCGTCCCCAGGCCTGGGTCCATTTGCAGAGGAACACGCTCAAAGTATAGCGGAAAAGCTGCAGCAGGAGCGACAGTTGGACAGTGAGAAGTGGTTTACTCCTAGCATCTCATAGTAAACACATAATATGTAAACATGTTGAAACCTCATTTTCCCCAGAAATGGCATCACCTGTGCCACTGTGCAAGATGGATTAATTAAATTATATATATATGGTTACCGTATAGATCAAGCCCACTGATTGCGGCATGGTCATCAGTCCATGAATGAGGCTTTATATACCCATTATGTTTGGATTTCCATTGTGGGATGGACGACGATTCTACGCACGTACAATGTTACAATAATTTTGACCATGGCACAAATGGCCATAAATTGACATATCCCCCAGTTTTGATGGTTGGAACATCCTGATGAGTCGAGAACTTTGAGTTTTAAGGATGATTGCATCTGTAGGATGAGACGCGATTGGCAGCAGCGACTGCTTTGGCAAAGCTGCCAGCTGGTTCTGCCAAGCCATTTGTGAAAGATATTGTGTCGAAGGCCCGGCAGTTCCAGCAGACAATGCCCAAAGCTGGCCCCTTTCTCTTTCATTGACCAATCCATCCCTTATCCGGGTTTTGCTTGCTAACCTCATTAGTTTCAATTAAGTTATACAAATTAGATGACCATCACCCAGTGGACTCATTTTGAATGGGGCATGGCTTTTGTTTGTGCAGATGTACAGTAGTCTTCGGGTTAGGTGCAGATAGTTGAAGGATTGGAACAATAAAACCCAAGTCAAGTGCTGCGTTGGACAACGAGGTCTGTGATCAAATGAGGTCATGGAATGCAAAAGGAGGTAGGGTCCGGCTCTCCTTTTGGAGTAACTCTTAAATAATTCCGATATTTTCCATATTCAAATGGCCATAAAAGGGCCGCTTCGCAGGCTCTCTGCGACGTGGATCCCGAGACTCGGGAGGCGGCTCTGGAGGTCTTGTCCAAGGCGGATGTGGATTATGTCCTGGCAGAATGCGCAGGACGTTGTGGGAGTTACCAGGGAGCATCCCATCCCCTGAATGGTTAATACATGTTAATACCACCCACATGGCCCCCCAAAATGGATCCAGTACTCAACCAAGGTTCGTGGAAGGTTGTTCAATATTAGATTAGGGGGAAGGGTTGAGGGAAGCAGATTCTTTGGCCGCACAACTTGAGAATGGAATGATGTGGATAGGTATTGAAGTTTGAAATGTGATTTGGTGATTTGTGTTCAATTCCTGACAGTCAGGTGGGATTTTGCTGACCTGGCAAGGGTTTCCTGCCAATCAGGACTCCTGACAGAAATGCTGAAGCATGAACATCCTGGCGTGCTGCTCCCAGGGGCCATACTTCAAGATGTGCTATGCTGCAAAGCATGCAGTAAAGGATTTGACTGTGTCGCATGTACTGCAACAGTCAGAGGACTCAGTTTTCACGCTTGTTAATAGAGCGAATCAACAACTGGTGCGGATATTCTCATGCTCCTGCGACGGCCCGCAAGGTTCGTGCATGTGTGGCTCTCTGTTTTTCACGCTTCGGCGAAAAGGCTGGTTGCTTCAGTGCATCCTCCAATGCTGACCCTAAACGAATGAGCCGACTCCATTAATAATATTGCGGGAAACTGACACTACAAGTGTTGCTGATATTTTGGATGGACAGTCAAACATTGACCCCACATTCTAGGTGTTGGCCTGCCCAAACAGCGATTAATCGTTGACTGTAGTGATAGTTTTCCATCCCCATCATGCACATTCATGCACCGGGCCAGGCGGTTGCAGCTGCTGGAGAGATTGCGAAGCTGTTGGAAGACTCGGAAGAGGTCAGGCAGTTGCACCCTGACCACTTTGGACTTGTTTGAACCACATTGGGCCCCGATGGGATCAAAGGTATTTGTAGCTACAGCATTGCCTACCAGTTACCATAACTGGGGCTTTAGGCTCAGTTGTTAAGTGACAGGGGCCTATCATTGCATGGCAGGGGCCTATGATTAATTATGATTGTAGTCTTTCACTCCAGCTTCGAAATCTGGGAGTGTCTGGATTTGATGTTGATGTGGTTGTTGATGTTGATGTGTTTGTCACGGCGATCTGAGGGATTTTGATCATGGACCAGCAAATGCTATGGCAGGATTTGGCTTGGCTCCCGCTGCATTTGGGTTCGGAGCCCAACAAGACCGGAGCACCCCCCGGGTCTGAATAGCCTGGGATCACCTGCTTCAAGTATAGCATGTTCTTCATGGTTTTTCATGCAGCTTTGAGGACTCTTTGCTTTTGTGAGCTCCAACAACTCAAAGATGGTGGCCAACATTCCGCTTTCACTATCAAGCATCCAATTTCATTCTTCCAACTCATGCTTTGCTGCCAAGACCGTCCAGTCTTGCGGTTGAATTGCATCATGATTGTCATAATTGTTGTTGTTGTTGTTGTGGTTGTTGTCGTCGTTGTCGTCGTCGTCGTCATAATTGTCACAATTGTCATAGTTGTCATAATTGTCATAATTGTCATAATTGTCATAATTGTCATAATTGGCATAAGTGTCATAATTTTCATAATTGTCATAATTGTCATAATTGTCATAATTGTCACAATTGTCATACTTGTCATAATTGTTATAATTGTCATAATTGTCATAATTGTCATAATTGTCATAATTGTCATAATTGTGATAGTTGTGATAATTGTCACAATTGTCATAATTGTCATAATTGTTATTGTTGTTGTTGTTGTGGTTGTTGTCGTCGTTGTCGTCGTCGTCGTCATAATTGTCACAATTGTCATAGTTGTCATAATTGTCATAATTGTCATAATTGTCATAATTGTCATAATTGGCATAAGTGTCATAATTGTCATAATTGTCACAATTGTCATACTTGTCATAATTGTCATAATTGTTATAATTGTCATAATTGTCATAATTGTCATAATTGTCATAATTGTGATAATTGCGATAATTGTCACAATTGTCATAATTGTCATTGTTGTTGTTGTTGTTGTTGTGGTTGTGAATTCCTGGTTCTACTCCTTCTTTCTCCGTCCTCAGATGCCTGGTCATTTTCCCACGCCCGTTCCAAAGGCGGTGCGCGTGGCCGAGAGCCGCCGGAACGAAGGAAGCCCCGCTGTGCTGCGGTGCTGGCTTTGGGCGCCATGCGCGCAGAGGAGCTGAATGACCAGGGGATGGAATGGGGTAATTTGGTAAACCCAAAGCCACAAACCATCCCAATATTATATACATACACATATTGTAATATATATACTATATATATATATACTATATATATATACTATATACATATATATATATGTAAATGGTTGGTATTTTCACCAATCGAAGTTATGGTCATCCACAGTCTCTCTCAAGTCATGTCACTGAGGAGCACGCTGCAGCAGTTCAAGAGCTGCTTGATGATGGTGACTGGGAAGTGCGCTCGTGCACATTGGAAGCACTCGCAGGTCGGCCTGAACCGGCAGCAAATACCATACACAGGGGCTATCATTTTTTTGGAATTGTTTGACACCAACAAAGCAAACTCATGAAGCAATAGAACTTGTCAATTGACATCCACATTCTAAACTCTTTTCCAAGCAGTCAACAGAAGGGACGTTTAGGGGTCTATCTACACATTTGGAAGTATTTGCATCACATCCAGCGATTGATGCTTTCGAATGCCAGCCATGGAAGGCTACAGCACGTCTGATGCAGACCTGATTGAAAGGACAGCGGAACCAGTCTGACTAACAAGTCGACCATCATATATAAATTGTCAAAAAACTTGGAATGGTACCTAATTATATGTATGTATATATTTTCACTGTTTAATCATCATTTTCCCTGCAGTAATTAATGAACCCATACTGTATGATCCCATATGTTGCTTCAAAGTATTCGGTGAACGTATTCTCGCAGGATCGCTGCTTTGTTGGATGACGACACCTATGCAGTCCGCGCAAAAGCTTGTTTCCTGTTGGGCAAAGTCAATGCCACGAACCAAGCAGCCTGAACCTTAGCACTACAGAATGCCATGAGCCTTTGTTGCCTCCGGCTTCCACTTCTTTGATCATTCCAAGAGATCTTTGTGGAAAATCAGCCTCATCTGCAGATTAGCAGCGATTAGCAGATTGCTCTGATCCCAAGCTACAGCTTTGCAGCCAAAGGTCCTGAATTAGTTTGCCACCAACTACAAGAGCAGTAGTATTTAAACCTTGCTGCCAGGATCGCTTGTCGGAGATGCTAACGGATAAATCACAGGCAGGGGACCTGGCAGAGTCCTGAACGTGCTCCAAAGTGAAGTAACTTGTGAAACTTTGTACAGCAACTTTGGTGAATATGCAGATTTAAGGTTTTTTGCAGACTTTCAAGCACAAGAACACGTGCATAATAAGCTCTTCCTGAGATGGTTCGCAAGGCGTATTTGAGACCTCACATGAATGTTAGGGCGGATGAGAGTGTTAGTCAATTGGTGGCATGCAAAAAGCCCTTGTGTCAGGCAGTTCGACGTGAGGCAAGCCCAATCCAGCACGACCACCAGCTTGGTAGCATTTTTGGGAGAATCTGGTAGAACTCCATTATAGCGATGGAACGCACGCAAGCAGCTCCAAGCAGCTCCCAAATTGGCAACGCTTGCAGACTTGAGCCGCAGGCAGCGCTTGCGCTTGGAAAGTTTGGTGATGCTGCTGCAACTTATGCCTACGAGGCTTCTGATGTTGTTTTGCAACACTGCGAGAATTTAGTGTCACTACTGGGTGTGCTTCGTGCAACAAGCCCTTCATACATGATATACGTACTGATGTATAATTATTATGATCATGCATGCATGCATGCATGCATGCACTCACTCACTTACTCACTCATTCACTCATTCATTCGTTCATTCATTCGTTCGTTCGTTCGTTCATTCATTCATTCATTCATTTGTACATACATCCGTACATACGTACATATGTACACTTGCGTACATACTTACAAATTATTGCATACACACATTCATACATGCATGCATGCATGCAGGCAGGCAGGCAGGCAGGCAGACAGACAGACAGACAAGACGGACAAGACAGACAGATGGACGGACCGACAGGCGTACAGACGTACAGACGTACATAAGTACACACACGCACAGACGTACAGACGTACAGACGCACAGACGTACAGACGCACAGACGTACAGACATATACACACACACATACACATAGGCACATATACACGTATACAGTATACACATATACAAAATACATATACACACATACACATATACACATCAGACATATAAAATTATATATATATACACACACATAAACACACACACACATATACATGTCCATGTACATAGAAACGTACCATTTCACCCACTCATTTATATAGTGGTGTAAAGGTCGCTTGCCTTTTGCTGACTGATCCTTCTGGTCGAGTCAGAAGTGCTGCAGTTTCACACTCAGATTGCAGCCAATAGTTTAGCCCTGGCATACAGAAAAGCCTGGTTTCCATAGCGCCATCCTCCAAATCATGGTATATCCAGATCAATATTGATAAAGACCTAAGGTTGGGCCCAAAAACCACTCTTGAATTTTGCATCTCCTGTGGACAAACTTTGGCACCTAGACACTTGCTGTTGAAACCTCAAGCCTCCCAAGGCCAGGGCTCTCGCGGGCTTGAGCGAAAGTGGAAGGCACGGGATGAGACCTGCCATGATCTATGCAGATTCCAGTCATTCTTGTCGGCCTTCGATTGAATGTCAGATGTGCTACGTTTTTTTTTGGTTAAATCCCCATTTTGGTGGTTGAACCCCTGTTTGTATTGCTTGATTCCTCATGGTGTTTTCTTTTGTTACCCAATGTTGTCCCACTCTCCAGTCATCCCATAGCCAGGCCGTATGCAAGCGCTGTAGCCTTGCAATTGACCGATGTGGATCCAGAGACGAGATCAGAGGCCAGCTGCTGCCAGCTGCTGCCAGCTGCTTGCATCCTGGAAATGGCTCAAACTATGAATCCCCGAAGTGGTTGGCTCTTGAGGTCGGCTTGATTCGTCAACAAACGACAACTAGTGTTCCTTTGGTCCACAATTTGAGAGCCATGTCAGTATTATAATGTATTATATTAGATAGATAGATATATATATATATAGTAATATTTATGTATGTATGTTGTGCAATCGGCCTAGAACCAGCTGTGGTGCGGGTGAATCCTTGAGTTCTGTGGACATTAGGAAAATCAGCCATAGAAGTCCCCTGCGCTGTGTGTTGAGGGTTTCGGCTACGGCCATGGAAACTTCGAGATGCCTGAAGCTGGTGTTGCCGTTTTTGGATGCAGTGGATCTGGTCCGATCGTCAGTTTCTTGCAAAGATTTGCACGTCTCAACCCAGCAATCATCGCTTTGGGAAGGGCTCTGCCACTCGTACACGGCAGAAATCTGGCAGACCCAGCGTGGAGATGAAGTTGAATTTCCTGAACGAGAAGATGGTGAAAGTGCCAAGCAGTACTTCGAGAGGCTGTATGAAAGATACATCTTCTTCAGAGACTGTGATACTGTACGTTGCAACAGATGCAACGATTGGACGAGCATCGGGGATGACGGCCTCGAGTGTGAGGACTGCAAAGGGATTTGGTGTGACAAATGCGCGACACGTGGACCCTCAAAGCATTGGCTTCCTTGCAAAGATTGCCCAGATTTTTCCAAGACTCATTGTCTTGAATGCTTCCATGACGGCAAGACACTACGCTGCGAGTGCCATGGTACTGATAGCTGGTCTCATTGCTGTGGGCGACATGCTTTTAACTGCGAAAAATGTAATGCGACCTTGTGCAGATTCTGCGTGAACCATCACAGCTATGATTGCCCAGAGAAGGATGAAGAGGAGGAGGATGAACTTCACCCGGCGAACTAGCCATAGCCGTAGCATGCCGTAGCCCAAAGTGTTTTTTTAAGCTTCAGGAGCTCCTTTTGCAAAATTAGTACGTTGGGATTCACCAACAAGCAACGGAGGTTGCTAGCAGTGAGACCCAAATGCAGCTCGTGATGAAATCACCGAGTTTTGCCATCAACTCATGGATTGTCGCACCCAAAACCATGTTTGCAAAAATTCCTCGGTGGTCCAGGCCGGTCCAGGGTCAAACCATGCCAAAAGCTTCACAAGTCGAACATCGGTTTCTGGGTTGGTTTTGTGACACGGCTCCGTGTAGGTCCCGTTCTCACACCTCTGTGGACTGCCAATACACAAATGGGGAGCTAGGAAACTAACCCTTCCTGAAATGGGCTTTTGGAGGCTTGGGCTTGAAATCGTTTGGTGCCACAGGCCTGCCTTTCTCTGGGACACATGGGGCCTTATGGCTTGGCTTTCGCGGAGGACGACAGCTGAGTCAGTGGCACCGGCACAAACCACAGACATCCACAGATTCTGAGCATTTCTGAACCCAGGAGCTGGAAAGAGTGATGCAGGCAGTGGGACGGCAACACCCTGTTTCTATTCACATAGTTGACATATGAAATAGCTATCCTCGTGGAGTACCAAAACTGCCAAAGAAGGTCTTCCTTTGCCTCGGCTTTGAAGGGAACTTGAATTGGGAAAGACAACTTTTCTCAATGCAAGGGTCCCAAGCTTTGAATGACTTGAATTGTTGCAGATTTGGTTCTGAAAGACTCCTTGATGGCAGGACCATTTGGTGCATCCACCCGAAGTGAAGGCTTCAGCCAAGCAGGTCATTTCCTGAGAGCCGACAGATCTTCCATTTGTTCAGGGTCGAACTTGCTGTTCCGAATGTCTATCCCACCTCCATTTCTTCAGATTGTGATCACAATGCCCGTTAAAATTGATGTGAACATAGACGGTGTATGGGCGCTGAATCCATGCAGAGGCTTTGATCCTGCTGGGCCGACTGCAAGAAGCGGTTGAGGTGTGGGATGGCAAGGTTATATCATCTTATATATTGTTATATTGATTCCTGCTGAACTTGGGTTTTCTGCCTCAAACATTTTTGCCTGCTGTGCGATGTCCACCTGAGAATTTTGGACAGTCAACAGCGCAGTCAACACTGACAAGTTGTTAGTCAGTATTTCATCCTTTTCCATGGCACAATCATCTCTTTTCTCTAACGTCGTACATCGGTTGCGGGTGTTGCGTGAGGATGATTCAAAACCAATTCCGTCCGTGGTGAAGGCGCACAGGGCACCTTTGATGTGGACGAAGGATGAAGCACAAGTTTCAATGCCACAGAACTGGACTGTCACATCTCCGTGTGATCTGAACACGGTATGAATTGCGAGTCAACCTTACAATGTTCACACACACACACACCGATACTGTCGTTCGAGAAACCTGGACCATTGGAAAGCCCTTGTCCGGGCATACCGGGCTCAAGCAAGCCCACGGACAAAAAAGATCACGGAAGGCCTCACTCAGAGCAAATTAATCAAGATGGATTGAACTGGAATTGTAAAACTCGTGCCTCCAAACCTGAGAAGTAAGACGGAGATGAATGAAAACGACAGCCAAGTACATTAATCGGAAAGAAACATAAAGCATCTCAACGTGAAAGAACCAAAACTCTGAATCGAACATGTTTTATGGGGATGTCTTTGTTTCTGAGCTTCCTTCCACTGGCTTTGTTTGATCTTGACAATCAGTCATGCCATCCATGCACCACGTGTCAGGCTGCAATGGCAACACAGGTGCAAACGTGAGATTGTAGCTTTAGCTAAGGCTTGCAAAACCACGTCACTTCTTCCAAGATACTGGCGTGGTGCAGCGTCGTTCCAAACACGATGTTTAGATGTGTTTGGTTTTCAGTAAATTAGACAGTTTTTCTCAGGAAGCGAGATGATCAAAATCAAAAACCTGGCCAGATGGAACCAGACCGGCCATTCGTGTGTGCCGAGCGGAGCTGCCCCGTTAGAGTAGCCATGGCTTGGAGTTAACTTATGGGCCGAAGGTACAAAGATCCAGTGAGTCACTATATGAATGGTGATTTACTCTATCATATGATTTACATTGACATATCATGTTTTACCATGTTCTATCATTATTTGCCATCACATCGATGTTCTGACAATGACTTTAGGCCTCATAGGTGTCTCTGGACCATGTAATGGTGCGGTGTCAAGATGTCTTCGTCAAAAAAAGTGACAAAAATGCCGCGCTGCAACGTTCAACGTTTCGAAAGCGATGCCTCCACATGACTGATACGAAATTTGATGGTTCGGCCACCAAAAGGACAGGCAGATCGCGATACCTGTATAAATCTGTATGATACAGTATGATATAATGTATATGTAATTATATATAATATACACATAATATATATATAATATTTATTAATCTATAATAATACATAATAATATTTAATAATATATAATGATATTTAATAATATCTAATAATATATATAAATATATAATAATATATAATAATATTAAATAATATAAACTAATATGTAATAATATGTAATAATATATAGTAATATATAGTACTATATGACAATATATGACAATATGTTATTATATATGATAACATGTGATAATATATGACGATATATGACAATATATGACAATATATGATAATATATGATAACATGTGATAATATATGATAATATATAATAATATATAATAATATATAATAATATATAATAATATATAATAATATATAATAATATATAATTATAAATATAATAGTATATAATAATATATGATAATATATAATAATATATGATGATATATAATAATATATAATAACATAAAATAATATTTAATAATCTATGATAATATATAATAATATATAATAATATATAATACGATACAATCATATATGATAATATATAATAATATATAATAATATATAATAATATATAATAATATATAATAATATATAATAATATATAATAATATATAATAATATATAATAATATATAATAACATATAGTACAGTAATATATAGTAATATATAACATAATACATAACATGATACATAACATAAGGTATCACATAATATATAACATAATATATAACATTATATATAACATAATATATAACTTATAATATTACATAATACATTACATAATACATTACATAATACATTACATAATATATAACATAATATATAACATAATATATAACATAATATATAACATAATATAATATAACATAATATAATATAATATAATATAATATAATATAATATAATATGTACTATAACCTGATTTGTATTATAGATAATGATATATTATTAATATATATATGCATATGTATGGTAATTTATAATCACATATATATATAGATGTATTACACACATATATATATACACATACACATTTTTGTTTTGATATATGGTACCCCCTGTGCATTTGATTGCACCCATAGTCAGGAGCTTCAAAGACAACAAGATGCGCTGCATTAAGGCGGAAAGCTTGGGAGCAGCTCAGAAAATCCATTTATAAATAGATGATTTGGGGGTACCCACCATTTTAGGAAGCCCCGGAACCCCATATATATATATATATATTGTAACTTCATTTCCATTTAATCCCATGGATCATCAACTTGAGATTGGCATCAACATCCGACACCTTGTAATTTATGGAATTTTAACCCTTGAGAATCTCGAGGCAAAGCTGGAGTCAGCGGAACCGGCTTCAAACCGATCTGCGGAGGTCTGTTGCATGTTTGTCATGAGTTAACTTTTTATCCCACAGGATGATCAAACATGCAGATGCTGAGAGATGTGCTGTACAGATGCACAACATATGGAAGAAAACACACACACACACACGCAACATGTTGTTCATTTCTTGCCCTCCTCAGTGCATCCAGTGTGAATGATGTCGACGGATGACCGAGTAAAACATATTATGCTGCATGAGATGGATTTCCTCACTCTTGATTCTTCAATTATGAATCACTGACAACAGTTTGCTTGTCTGTATGCTTGATGGTTTACCTTGCATGGTTGAATTATCTTGAATTATGTTGAATTGTTTGGAAGGTGTCCAGGGAACTGCAAAAGTGGATGCTGTCGTTGAACGAGGCCGGTGATTTGGTCTCTTGCCCATTTGTGTGTCGTCAGTCCCTGGTGTCCCTCTTTACGGGAAAACCATGGAATCGCAGTGCGCATCCTTCTGGACAAGCACGTGGGAGACTAGTGACTAGGTAGACGACTTGGCACTGTAGATATTTTGGTCTTGGTCTAGCTCTTGAAACTTGATTGGTAGAGGTGCTACCGCAAGACGTTTGCGGAACAGCACCTTGTATCCTGGTCATTGATATTGCTCTTTGCCCATGAAAGTTCTTGGTTTCCAATTTCTTCCAAACTGGTTTGATGGAATCAGACCAGCAGACTTCTACATCACACACTTTTATTTTTACTGTACTGTTTTCATCAAATTTTGCTGACATAGTATTGCCCTGTTCCCGTCACTGCCTTGGCAACAAGTTGTTCCGCGCCGAGTCCCTTCCGTGGAATCCAATTGGGTGCACCTGCAGAGCTCACATGTTGCTGCGACCACCGAGAAGCAGTTACCATTGGGAACCACTTCGCAGAGCGTTGTCAATGGGTATAGTCGGTATAGTACATTACTCCTTAGAACGCGAGCTTCTTCGTCTTCTTGTTGATGATAATCCGATAGCATCCGATAACTAGAATGGATGATGATGGATATGATGGATATGATAGATATGATGACTTGCGTGTTTTTCAGTCTGCGGTTGTTGCTGCAGCTTTTGAGGGTTCATGTGGGAACGATTGGCTTCACTGCCCTGGGGCATCCAAAGCCTATTTTGCCCATCTCGTGCATCTGAGTCGTTGCTGCTCGCCATAGGGGCTTGGTTGCTGG